CTTGGGGTCCCACCGAGCATCATTTTCCATTATTCCCTCCAGGATGAGTCACTGATGCGTCAGGAGGAGTCCTGGATGTCCCCTTTGTCCTGGAGGCCTCACCTGACTGCATGTCCAGCGCTGCCTGCAGCTTGGGGGGACAGTAGATGGCGTTGGCCGTGGTCCGTGCCGAGGTTAAGGCTGCTCTTGCTTTTGGCAGGTTGCTCAGGGCATGGTAAGTCTTGCTCTCTAACAGCTGCACTTCCACCAGCAGTGCCTTGTCATCCATCTTTTTCAATTCCCGAAGGAGCTGGGAGCCTGGGAGAGGGGGAAGGACAACAGCTCTGTGGGTTGTGCAGTTGGGGTTGTCCCCAAACCTGCAGCACTGCCCGCTCTCAAGGTCGAGAGGTCCTTTAGGCCAGGACCCTAAAGATTGAGACTTTAAGGATTTTTGAGCAACTCCAAAGCTCATGGGATGGGGAAGGAATGCTCCAAGCACAGGGTATTTACAGGACAAATGTAGGAGGTAGGAATGGACAGGCTGGAGAACGGCAGCATGAGCTGTCACATCAAAGCCTTGTGAGGACAGAATGAGCCAGTCTTGGAGAAAACTTGTCTCCTCCTCTCCCCCCCCACTAATCCAAGAGGTAACTTAGGGTGAGCAGAGATGAGCACCTCCCCCTCCCTTGCAGTTCTCAGGGGCTGAAAAGCAGATCTGAAACTGCATTACTGGGTAGAAAAGAACAGATTATCCCTAAAAACATCCCAAAGAGACTCCCTGCTTGCCCTGTCCCCCCACAGCCATGGACACAACAGTGACCCCTCAATGGAGCAGCACAGGGGCTGTCCTGTTCAGGCCTTCCCAACTGCCCAGGCTGTCCCATCACCATTCAAGGGATTAAACTCATTAAGCACAGCTTTGGAGCTGATCAGTTTAAATCCGAGTTCATTACCTATCCATATGCAAATGAGTTCTAACTCCATCCTGAATTCCATGCACCACAGCACTTAACCTGACATTCTGATCAGACAGGAGCCCCCCAGGTGACTCTGGACGTGACACAGCTCGTGCCACCACTCAGGGTGACAGGTTATGGGTCCCAGGTGAGCACTGTGTCCATGCAGTCATCCCCCAGCCCTGCTCTGCCACACGGCTTAAACCTCACCCACAGCTTCAGCTTCACTCACAGCCTCAACTTTCACTTGGAGCTCCACAGTCATTTGCAAAATGAGCATTTAAAAGGCACCAGAGGAGCTGTGAGGTGACCTGCTTCACTCTGCTCTGGGGCAGGGCAGGAGTTCACGTGGGTAATGACCACCTCAGGGGGTGCAGGAGCAAATCTTTGAAGTCTTCACAGCACCTCACCAGAGCTGGTCTAAGGACACCCACAGAGGTTCTGCCATTTCCCAGCATTGGCTTTACTGGGGTTGCGTTTGAGCAAAGGGACAAAAAGCTGTTTTCTCCCTCCAGCCTGACCACAGCAGTGTGTTCTAGCATGTGCCAGCAGCAGCCAAACTCCAGCCTTCAACTGGATACAGCCTCCAAAATTATTTGAAATTCATAAGTCACAGAATCCTGGAATGGTTTGGGTTGGAAGGGGCCTTAAAGCTCATCTCCTTCCAACCCCTGCCATGGGCAGAGACACCTTCCACGAGTCCAGATTGTTCCAAGCCTTGTCCAACCTGACCCTGAGGATCAGGTGAGATGGGTGAGGGTGGTGGAACAAAGAGAACAAAGACATCTCTAAGAGCTGTTACCACCCAGCCACAGCAAGAGATGGCAGAGCTGGCACAGCACCGAGGAATTAACTGCCAAATCCCACAAAATTTATCAAGGGACACGACACAGGCTGTAGTTTCTCTTGTCAAGAGTCTTAATTTAAAAAGCAGAGATCTACTACCACCACCTAGTGGGAGCCTCACCTAGTTGCAAAGCTTCTTGGTACCTCTTGGTGTCGAAGTAGAGAGAGACCAGCCTGGCCTGGAGAACAGAAAAGGAACTGCTGTGAGGAAAGCCAGAACAGATTTATTTTGTAAAATGAAAACTGTGACGTTCTTATTCTGCACTACAAATTAATTCAGTGTAATTAATTCAGTGTAATTAATGCCCACCCCATTGACACATACACACACACAAAAAAAGACCTGGACAACACACACACACACAAACACAAGTCCTCTCTACTTTTGACAGGTGTTAAAATCTGATTAAAAAGAGGGAAGATTGTGACCCCGCGGGGTTTGGGATCCGTCACGTACCTCCAGAGCCTGGCGTAGGAAAGTCCTCTTCTCTGATTTGGCCCATTCAATGCACTCTAAACACAGGTCCACCTGAAAGGGAGCAGAAGGAAATTAGTCAAGCCTAAAAGTCGAGGCTAACCAGTCAGGCCTAAAAGCTTTCCTTGTTAGTGCCTCCCCCCAAATGCCTCCGAACGACACCGAAGGTGTCGTTCGGAGGCATTTGGGGGGAGGCACTAACAAGTTTAAACTCACAAATTTAAACTCACAACTATGCTGAGTATTTTCAATAAAAGGCAATAAATTGCAGGGTTTTTTTAGGGCCCTTGATATGTCAAAGCAGCAGAGGTGCCAGGCTCTGGTTTTGGGTGCCAGGGGTGCCCAGCCCGTCACTTCAAAGCACGGCAGGGGCTTCTCGAGATTTTTGAGGTTGAGATCTCCCCCCCCACCACCCCTTGATGAATAAAAGGGTGTTCCACCTCAGACAGAAGAGGGTTTAGTAGTGGCCCACAACACCTAAGTCATCCCCCAGGTGCCAGGTTGGGGAAATCCTTATCCCAGAGTCTTGTCAGCTCCTCCTCACTGCTTATTAAAAGGTGAACATTTAATGAAAAGCCATTAGGAGGTTTCAATTTACTGCCCAGTGAGAGAGCTGGAGCGTTAGGAGATGGGGAAACCTCCAATTCCATTGCTTTACTGGGCTCCTGGGAGTCTTCTCAACACTGATGAAGCAAAAGTCCCTTGGAACTCCTCTGAAAGGATTCAGGATTGCTGCCTCAGGAACCTCGTAGGTTGGATGTCACCATTCCTTAAGGTTTTGGGGTTGGAATAGGCTTGAAAATTAATATTTTGACTAACTGGGTCCTATTTCCATCATTATTATCCCAACTCCTTTTGCAACTGCACCCAAACATCGTCCTTTACACCAAGTTACCTTTAGAAGGGTCTGAAGCTGCTCATTTTCTCCTGATGATTTAAAGATTCCCCCCTTCTCACCTGCACATCCCACCCCACTTCCTGGCCCCTTCTGCTAAAGAGGGGGCAAAACATTCTGTCAGCATCCCACAGAAGGCACAAAAGCCAAACAGCAAATGAGGAACATTTCCTGCCTTACCTGTACTGAAGGGTGATGGATCTGTGCTAATTTGGCTAATGGGAACATGACCTGCCCCTCTCAGCATGGCAGAACCTCCTCTGCCCTGCAGTCTGTCAGTCCCTGTGTGCAGGTTTTATGTGGGTTTTGTCCTTGACCTGCTGCTCAGACCCTGTCTCCCTTTTCCACCCAAGGGACTGGTGAGCCAGCACAACCCACTGCAGGTCAGCGCTGCTTGGCAGTGGCTCCTCATCACTTATAAGCTGCTCCTGTTCTTATCCCATTCCCAAATAACCAAAAAGTGGGGAAAAACCCCAAACAACAAACCACTGTATCCTGGGGAGTTGATGAGAACAGACTGAATCCTGACTGTGGGCTATGTTGGACTACCCTGGGTTGTCTGGGGAGAAGTTCACCCACTGACACAGTTTACACCTGTAAAACTCTTTCCACTCCCACTTCAGGGGTAACTTTCATGCCTCTGTGCAGTAAAACACCCACCACACTGTGTCTCCAGGTGGAAGATGATGAGTAACACTGACCACTGAATCCCATCAGCTCCTGGACAGCTCCTCTGTGCCATCCCACAGCACGCCCACCTTTCCTGGCCCCGATCCCTGGAGCAGCTGTAGAACCTCCCACATCCCCAGCTCTGACCACACCACAAAATACTCCCAGTGCTGCACCTACAATCATTTAGGTTGGAGAAGACCTCAAAGATCACCGAGTCCAAGCATTCCCCCAGAATGGCAACCCCTAATCCACGTCCCCAAGTGCCACATGCACACATCTTTTAAATCCCTCCAGGCCAGGACAACCCTTTCCATGAAGAAATCTCCCCTAATATCCAACCTGACCCAACCTGAGGAAACAACACAAACTTAACGCAGGATGGGAGCCACTCCTAACCTGCCAGCAGGGCGAGGCTTGCAGGAAAACCTGGTTGTGAATCAAATCATCTGATGTTTTATTTATAAAAATACATCCGAGCGCATTAAACGACATGAATAATTCTGGAGCACGAAGCAAACTAGGCCAGATGAAGGTGCTGCAAGGCTTTTGAGGAACAGCCTTGCTGCTGGAAGTGCAGCCTCACCTCCTGTCCCGTGGCTGCCTCCATGTCCAGGAACAGGTCGAGCAGGGACCGGACTAAACGGGCGGCCTTGGCTTTGCTGATGGAGTTCAAGAAGGGCCGGACGTACTTCAGGAGTCCTCCCAGCTCTGGAAAATAAAAATAAAAAAAAACCCAAACCATGAAATACAAAGAGCCAAGGGCTGCTGACAGGTCTGCACACGGTGTTTCTCACATCCAACAGGCAGTTTCTCAGTGCTATTCACAGGGCACGGTGATAAACGTCACCTGCAGCCCTGCCCACACTGCCTGGGACTGCAGCTCCCCAGTTACCACCAGTTGTAGCTACTCCTGCCTCAGGCACGTTTTAAAAATGTAAGAATCTGCTAAATGCTTTGAGATTGCTCTGTAAAATGGAGTTTATGGTTTAGAGGTGTTTTTATGATCTCAGTTTGACGCTGGACCCAGGAAGTCGGATACACCAAAATGGAAAACGACATTCCTTAACACTCCAACTGCTGGAAAATGACATTCCTTAACACTCCAACCGCTGGAAAATGACATTCCTTAACACTCCAGCTACACCTTGACCTGACTGGCTCTTACCTCACTTAACTACATTTCTGCTTGTAACAGGTGTATTAAAAGGTACAAAGCGAGTCTTTGGAAGGGGTGGAAGAAGGAAAAGTCTGTGTTTATTTGGAAACTCCCTAAAGTGTCATTCCCAGGGAGCAGGAATGCGGCAGTCAGGGCACAAGCAGCTCCAGGACTCGGTGTCACCCTGGCAGTGACCTGTTGGAATTGCACAAGTGAAAAGTCTCCTACAACAAACAACACGTGGCCACCGGGGCAGGTCCCGGCCAGGGCTGTTTACAGTTTGGGAAGATGATCTTCCAGCAGAGCAGGATTCAGTGCTGACTCATCAGCAGTGGGGTTTACACTGAAATCGCAGCTATTTGCCCCAGATTTTTGAGCCTCACCCAAATATCCAGGTGGATCTCACACCACTGTGTTTACAAGATTCAACAGTAAAAGAAAGATCAAATGAAGACTTGTAATGTCTAATTCAGGAATCTGAATTCAATGTACTCTGTATCAAACTGGTATCAAATCAAAACTAAAATAAAAGACTAATTTGATTTCAATTAGTGTATGGAGGAGTATCAGGAGGATTTCAGTTTGGGAGGATTCCAACAAAAACAAATGAAAAAAAGGTTTCTTCCATATTTCATTTAGCAGTAATGCAAAGTAATTGTCATAATATCTTACTAATATCTAAAAATTATTCCTCATAATTTTTTGCTCTTTCAACCTATTTATTTTAAGTTTAATCAAGCCTGATACAACTCATGTCTCACACTCTTAAGAAGCAGAACCCAGTTTTTTTCCAATCCAATCACTCCTGGAATCATGGAATGGTTTGGGTTGGAAGGACCTTAAAGCCCATCCAGTGCCACCCCCTGCCGTGGGCAGGGACACCTTCCACCAGCCCAGGTTGCTCCAAGCCCCGTCCAACCTGGCCTTGGACACTTCCAGGGATCCAGGGACAGCCACAGCTTCTCTGGGCAACCTGTGCCAGGGCCTGCCCACCTAAACAGCCAGGAATTCCTTCCCAATATCCCATCTATCCCTGCCCTCTGGCAGTGGGAATCCATTCCCCCTTGTCCTGTCACTCCATCCCTTGTCCCAAGTCTCTCTCCAGCTCTCCTGGAGCCCCTTTAGGCCCTGGAGTGATGTCATACTGACATTCTCAAACATCTCCGAGTGCAGATTTAGAACAAACAGAACTTATCTGGGGTGTGCCCTGGATCCTCAGAGCAGCCTTATTCCCAAACTGCAGCGCAAGAGGTCCCAAATCCTTCTCCAGTGGAAGAGGGAACAAAACAAGATGCTCTGCCAGGCCTCAGCTTTCATAAAAGTTTGGCTTTCTCTCTGCCAGAGCATAAGCGGGCAGGTTTTTCTAGAACTGAGGTACATCTGCTGCAATATCTGAGCCCTGGCAGTGCTCAGCTTTTACTCCATCAGGAACTGAGATCTGCTGCCCCACTTCACCCACACCACTCCTGTTCCCAGGTCCATTTACCCTCCAGCACCATTCACGGATGCAAATCCCAATCATTTCAATCCAAGCCCAAACACTCTGGTTTTCACACACAGCAAACAAACCCCCAGGACAGCAGCACACAGGTCCTTCCAACACATCAGACCTGCACTGAGCCACTCCCAGGGATCAGGGTGTGAGCTGGGAAAGGGGGGCTCTGGATCCATCAGCTCTCAGCCACTCCCAAGCACCTCCTCCTGTGCATCCCTGTGCCGCACCAGCCCCTCAGGACCAGTGGAATCATGGCTTTAGTGCCCAAAATACTCCTCCCCACAGAACTTCAGAAGAAAAAAAAGGAAAAATCAGGTGAAACATAATGCAGGGTGTGTCCAGCCTTTCCACTGATGTGCTCTGCAGCTGCCCCAGAGCTCACGAGAAACCCAAGTCAACAGCTGGAATCCAGCTGTGCATTTTCCAAACTACACGCTCAGCCACCCGGGATCAAAGTTCCCACAGAAATTTCCCTTCCCCACCAACATAACCATCAACTATTTTTAGGGTTTTATTTTTTCTCAAGTGAATGCAGTGCCTGGTAAAGGGGTGTGATTGACAGCTCTGGAGGAATGATGAGCAGCAGCTCTGGAAAATTAAGCCCTTGCTGCTCATCCTCGGGGAAGGTGCTTCCACAAGCTCACACACCATGGATCCAAATTCCTGATCTGAGTTATTCCAGCGCTATAGAACTGCCATGAAAAAAAAAGGAATTGATCTATGAGTTTATCTGCTTGATAAGGATGCAGGATTGAAGAGGGTCAGTGGTATTATTGCTGTTTTTGTAAACAAAGGCTGCAATTCAGCAGAGTCATGGAATCATGGAATGGTTTGGGTGGGAAAGGATCTTAAAGCTCACCCGGTGCCACCCCCTGCCATGGGCAGGGACACCTTCCACCAGCCCAGGTTGCTCCAAACCCCATCCAGTCTGCCCTTGGACACTTCCAGGGATCCAGGGGCAGCCACAGCTTCTCTGGGCAACCTGTGCCAGGGCCTGCCCACCCTCACAGGGAAGGATTCCTTCCCAGTATCCACTTCCAGGGATACTGGGCACTGAAACACCTCAGACCTGCCACCACTTGCTAAAACTAAACCTGGAAAAGAGACAGGAAGGGAAGGTGGCAGAGCCTCTCCCACAGCTCCAGCACAGCCCCAAGCTGGGGTACCCGTTCCCTCACCCCCAGCAAGCACATCCTGCTGATCCCATCCCCATCTACACACACACACACAGCTGGCCTCTTAATGCCACCAAATTAATCTTCTTCTACCCAGAACAAAATCACTCTGCAGTTCAGTGTTCTAACACCCTGCAAAAAACACTTCAAGTTTGCTCCTTCATCACCCTGCGTTTGCTGAGTTAACATTGCTATTTTCAATTTCTTAGCCTTCCCCTTAAAAAAAAAAATTAAATCTATTAGCTCCTTACCCTAGCAGAAAACCCTGGAGTTCTTTACACTGGTGTAAAACTTCCCCTTAAACTCAAGACAACCCCCAGGCTCTGCAGAGGCGAGGAGGCCACACGGACCCATCAGCTCTGCTCCCAGTTCTGCTCCCCAGCAGCACATCCTGGGGAGACCCTGCTGATGGTTCCCCCCTTTTTGGCCCAAACACTCACATCTCCCTCGCTGCAGGGGCACAACAGTGTTTGGTTTTCTCTCCAGGAGCAAACAGCAGAGTGCAAAGGGCACAGTGACAGCCACACTGAGCTGACTGACTTATTACTGGCACGGTGTGACAGCTTCTGCAATGCCCCAGGTGAAAAGGGCCCCCCAAAAGGGCACACAAACACAGCCCCAAACTGCTGAGTGCCAAACAACCAACCCTCCCTGCCCCGAGGAGTCAGGAACAGGTTCCAAATAATCACTGAACAGAGAACTCAACTCCATCTCTGTCCTCTCACAATGGAGGGACTGTCCCATCCTGCTCCCATGTGGAGCTGGGCAGGCTTTGCTGATGTCATGGCCCAGCAGATAAATCAATTAATTGTGAGGGAAGCTGCTGGACAGAAAGGACTCTATGGGACAAACTTTCCCCTTCGAAACGAGGCTCTGAGGTAATTAAAAACCAATCAGGAGACACTTCTCATCCCAAACATAATGACTTAACAAAACTTGAATCACTTGTACTAAAAGACCATCATGCCCCAGGGTCACAGACTGCACTGCACAGCAGCATCACTTGGGACAAGCAGCACAAGATTAACATTTTATGCTCTTTATTTATTTTTTTAGGGTTTTTTTTAGTTTAGTTTCTGTCCTGTCTCAGAGAGAACATTCCCTGCCAAAAGCTGCTTTTCCTGCTGTCCCATAAATAAGGAGACTAAACCCACTGGCTGCAGCACCTCCTGTCAGCTCAGCTGGATATCTCAGACTCACCTTCTGCCTGCCCAGTCTTGGCCAGCAGCGATCCCAGCTCCAGGATGCTCTGCTCCTTGACTTGCACTGCTTCCTCATCGTTCTCCTGGACATCACGTTTCACTGGGGAAAAAAAGAGCAGGAAAAGTTGTTCTGGTGTTGTTCCAGAGGACAATCCCTACTGGTCAGCTCCTGGAGAGGTGCCCAAAAGCAGGAGCTGATCCCACAGGCACTGGTGAGTTCAGCCCAGCGCCAGAGAGGTCTGGGGGGCAGGTTCTGTGGGAAGTTTAAATTCAGCTCGTAGAGCTTTGCCTGTGCTCCACGAGGGTATCACAGCTGACAGACCCCACTGCAATCCCAGCTCTGAACAGTCCCATTCAGCTTGTCAAGCTGTGTGAGTGGCATTTACAGACACCACCACACACCAGAGCCACAGAAGCACATAAAGGGCATTTAATGGGATTTCCGGGGTTATCCCGCTCTGGGATTGTTAATGGTGCTGCTTTGTGTGTTAAGCTGAGATGCCGTGGATGAAATGCAGCACAACACCATCTCTGAGAGGTAGAGCTGTTGTCCCCCCTCACTCAGGTGTCACAGCTGCTAGCAGTGCCACCTCACTCTGTGCCAGGTGAGTGACTCTGCTCCCAGGCAGGTGAAGCGACAAACAAACCCAGAAGCACCAATTCACGAGTTATCCCTTTCCTTCCCTGCCACCACCCCCAGTGCAAGGAATCCCTCCAACTTCCACACAAACACAGCAAAAATCCCAGCTCTGAGGGGACTAAACCCTCCACGAGCCCAGACTGTGGTGCCCAAAGCGAGAGAACTCCGCTCTCAAGGAGAAAAATCATCACACACCATCCTGGGCTGAGTCCTGACTGAGCCCGGGCCGGCCCAGCGTGACTCGAGAACACCAACCCCGAAAGAACCAGCAAAACACTGAGGGAGGCACAAACAACTCCTAAAGCCCCGACAGCCCCTCCGAGGCCGGACAGGAGCACCAGGAAAAACTTGTGCCGGCACAGCGGGGTGACAGCGGGGCACGGTGACAGCAGAGGCCCCGCACGGCACAGGAATATAAAGCATCGCTGCTTTTCCACCGGTTTCGAGGGCTCTCCACTGTCTTACCCCCAAATCACCCACAACCCCTTCAACACCCCCAATAAACGCCCGGGGCAGGGGGTGCCACCAGCACTCGCCGGGGACGAGCAAAGCGAGCACTGGGTGAAGTTCTCCAGCGAGGAGTTCAAACCGAGCCGCGGCACGGCGAGAAAACCTCCTCCAAAGCTCAGCGTGTGCGGCGCTGGGAGGGTTTACAGCGAATTTCAGAGCGGCAGGAGGAGCCCTCGCCGCCCGCCCTTCAGCGCGGCCGCGGCACCGCAACGCGAGCCCCCCCCCGCGAACCGGCACAGCCCGAGCACCCCCCTCACACATCAGCGCTCACACGGCGCCGGCCCCGGCTCCTCCATAGCCCCGCGGCGCGGAGCGGGCCGGGCCCAAGGCCGCGCTGCCCGCACGGTGAGTCAGCAGCGGCGCGGGGCGCGAGTGGGGGAAGGGGGTGCGCGTTGCGGGCGCGTTGCGGGCGCGGGGCGGCGGGCGCGGCGGTTGGCGGGGGCGCTCACCGATGGAGTGCAGGATGCCGATGGAGGCCTCGCGGTCGGTGGAGAGCAGGGACTGCGCGCGCTGCAGCTCCAGCACGGCCGCCGCCGCCATCTTGCCGCTCCTCCGCCTCGCCGCCCTCACGGAAGGGGCGGCGCCGCCGCCACGGCCGCGCCTCTTCCGCGCGCGCGGCATGGCGGGAACGGCGCGGGGCAGGGGCGGGGTTAACGGAGAGGGGCGCGGGGCGGGGAGGGGAGGGGCGGTCTGAGGAGGGACCGTCGGGAGGGGAGAGCGGGCGGGGTTCGGTGAGGGGAGGAGGGACGGCAGGGAGGGAGGGAGGGAGGGAGTGGTTGGGAAAGAGCGCCTTTGGGAGGGAAAAGGGGCGTGGTTTGCGTGAGGGGGAGGCAGGCTGCGAGCAAGGCAGGGGGCGTGGCCTATGCGCGGCGGGCGTGGTCTGAGGCTGGATGTCTTACGTTATGGGGCGTGGTTATGC